GCATTCACCGTACATATACAAGTGCATACATTCTACACATACACACACAATAAACAAACATACACAAACAAGCAAACATACACAAACAAACAAACAAACACACCCACACACACATACAAACGCAGTGCGAAATCAACCCAGTGGTCTATTCACAGGCACTAACACTGCTAAGCATACATACTGCGTCTGACTTTCTTGTGTTCATATTTTATCTCTTTCGTCTTCATAAAATCGTCACATCATCTGATCATAACTTTCTAATCATGGCCAGGCTGTCATTTGTTCTAAATAACACGTCCGATGATAAGTTATGGCATATGTAATTGCGTCTGGTTTATGTCTGCATATTACTTCTTGTAGGCGTCTGGGTATAGTATGAAAGCATGTTTTGTTCTGGTTTATGTTACGTCAGCTCGTTACTTGTGGCAGATAGTACGAGGAATGCTTAGATTATTCTCTGTTTTAGTTCTTCTTCTTCTTTTCAGCTTTCTCCCATCTGAACCGTAATTCTTGTTGACAAATGTATAAAAGGTATGACTGAGAAGATAGAATCAAAACCGGTCAAATACATCTCTTGTATTGTGAAGATATTCATTCTCATTCATACCTTTTCTCCCATTTCTATATAGGGTCGCCGTTTTTGGATGAGCCGACACTATTACTGCTCATTTCAAATTGGTTTTGGCATGTTTTTTTTACAGTCGGATGCCCTTCCTGACACCAACCCTCTCCATCTTATTGTCTCTGTTTTAGTTTTATTATGTTTATTCCTTAAGTCTTGTGTCTGGTTGCTCATGGTTCTGATGTACGTGTGTTATGTGTCTTCACGATTAACATTAAGACTATTAACGTCAATTAAATGATTATTCAGTGGACATTAACAATTAGGGTATGTTAAGTCTTGTCTCTCTTCTTATTTATTATTGTTTTGCTTTCTTATTCATTCGTTTTGTACATCATTAGAGAGATATGTAAAATCGTGACATATTATCTCAGTACCAAAGGGGATAGTTGTTGATAAATATAGATGGTAATATTACACGATTTCCTTATAAAGAGGGAGAATGGGAGAGAAGGAGAGGAAGAAGGAGGGAGAGTTGAGGGGAAGATGAATGGGAGGGAATGGGAGGGAAGGGGAGGAAAGAGGGAGAGGACGGGGACAAAGAAAGGTAGGAGAAGGGGAAGGGTGAGAAGGAAGGGGAGAAAGAGGGAGGAAATGAGGATGGACAAGGAAAGAGAGGGAGATGGTGAAGGACAAGGGAAGAAAGAGGGTAAGGGAGAAGGCTGAGGAGACGGGGGAGGGGGGGGGGGCAGGGCGGAGGGAGGAGAGGCTGCCCCTGACCTTGGCGACTGATACGAAGCAGCTGCAGAGACGACCAAGTGCTTGAGTGCATGTAACCCTTTCTCACCCCATCTCGCGAGACACTTCCCTTCCCTGAGACTTCCTCGTTGCAATGGATGGCTGAATCGTGGCCCATTTTTTTGTTCTAATCATGGTGAATATTCCTATATTTTTTATGTCTTGTCATAATTTAGATTTAAAACGAATTCTCATTAAAAATCATCCAAGACCGCCTCTTCGTACGTCGCATTCTATGTACTTATACACATCAGCTTGTGGGAGAGAATTTTTTCTTATAATTTTTTTCGTGCAGGTTCCACACATGTAATAAAAAAAGCTAAATCTATGCTTATGCTTACCTACAAACCTGTCTATAAATAAAACACATGTAAAAAAAAAACTAAATATATACTTATGGTTACCTACAAACCTGTCTATAAATAAAACATATAATAAAAAAACATAAACATACTTATGGTTACCTACAAACCTTATAAATAAAACATACATACTACCCACTGATAACCGTTATCATGAGAGACGGTATCTTATTTGAGTTGTTGAGGCGTCTCTGAACCTTATCTTTATGTTGGTGGCCTTGAGGTCGCATGTGTTACCAAGGTGTGTATTTCTTTTATGTAGTTTCTTTCCTTTGAAGACTGAACCGTTCCCTGTCTTGGTTTTCCTATGGTTTATTTTTGTTACTATTAATAATTGTCAATATTTTTTTCATCTTTAAAAATTTATTTATTTTTTTTCATCGTATATGCTTTGTTATAGTAATTTTAGTAGTATTATTACAATTACAGATATCCACTTGAAGTAATCAATAACTGCAATTATTTCTATATATATTTCCTCTAAGATTTAAATGATGATAATCATATCGGATAATTAATTAGATAATTATAATGGTAGTCTCGTTATAACCTTATAGCATTCAGTTATAGTTATTCACTGGTACAATCTGTGACTCACTGAACCCAAACACATGAACAGGATATTAACAAACAATCGTTAACAATTAAAGATACTTTATTCATTTTCTTTAGATCAAGGATATCAACGGTTCGCCTTGGAAGAAAGTGGGAGAAATGGATAAGTGGAAAATAAGTGGAAGAAAGTGCGAAGAAATGAACGGAGGCGGAAGAAAATGGGAGGGAATTTGAATAAAAGTGGAAAGGGAGAGAGTGGAGGAGACATTGAACGAGGTGGAAGTGGAAAAAAGAAAAAAAGGAAAAAGAAGAAAGTGGGGGAGAAGGTAAAATGAAAGAGAAGACGGTGAAAAAGAAGAAAAAATCAAGAGAAGACACTGAACGAGTAAGAAGTGGAAGAGAAAAAGGTGGAAGATTAGAAAGTGGAGGTCATGTGGAGTCTCCTTATGCGCTGAGAATCTTCAGCTTCTCATCATTGTAAGGAGGATAGCGGACTCTGCGAATAAAAGATAACGATAACGATAATGATAATGATGAAAACTGATGATAATGATAACAATACATATTTTGAATGACTATCACCATGGCAATAACGAAGATAGTAATAATAATGAGAACAACAAGAACAATCTGTGATAAGAGTAATAACGATAATAAAGACGATAACGGTAATTAGGGTAAACATAAAAATTTGATGATATAAAGAATAAATAATACTTGAAGTGATAGAAGAAGAAGAGTTCATAATTATTATATATTGAAAAAGTAAAGAAAAGAAAAAAACGAAGAAAAATGCAAAAGAAAGAAGGGAAGAAAACACACGCAAAAAAAAACACGAAAAAAGACCAAAAACAACAACAACAACAACAACAAAAAAACATACGCCAGCATCTTGTCAGCCGCAGAGTCGAAATCCCTAATGAGGACGGACTTCTTGTGCAGGAAAGTGTCGATGGTGTAATCCCCGTGGTAGGCGCCCATCCCGCTGTGTCCGACGCCGCCGAAGGGGAGGTTGGGGTCTGGGGGGGAGAGGAGAGGGAAGGTAAATGATAATAATAAGGAAATAATGGTAATGATGATGATGATGATGGGTATGGTGATGATGATATGGATGACGGAATACGAATAATAGTAAGAACGATAATAATAATAATAAAGACAATAATGAAGAAAAATGATATAAAGATAATGATAATAATGATAACAATAATAAAAATGATGATGATGATAGTAATGAAAATGATAGTAATAACAACAATAACAACAATAATAGAAATATTAACAACAACAATGATAACAATCATAACAATAATTAATACCAACAACAAACAACAATAAAAAACAACAATAATACCACTACCAAGAACATCAACATCAACAAAACACCAACAGCATCACCACCACAACACCACAACAACAAAAGACTCACTGGCAGCGTGGTGGAGAGTGTCATTGATGGTGGCGCCCCCAGAAGACACTTGGCTGAGGAAGGCGTCGGCTACGTTCTGCTGCTTCGAGAACACGTACATGGCGAGGGGCTTCTCTCTGAGGGCGAGGAAGGGAGGGCTGATAAACGAGGGAAGAGGGAGAGGTGATAGAAAGGGAGGGGTGGTAAAATGAGGGGAGAAGGAGAGGTGGTAAACTAGGGAAGAAGGAGAGGAGGTGATAGAAAGGGAGGGCTGATAAAACGAGGGGAGAAGGAGAGGAGGTGTAAGAAAGGGAGGGCTGATGAAACGAAGGAAGGAGAGGAAGTGAAAGACAGGGAGGGCTGATAAACGAGGGAAGGAGAGGAGGTGATAGAAAGGGAGGGTTAATAAAACGAGGGAAGAAGGAGAGGAGGTGATGGAAAGGGAAGGATGATTTAAACAGATGATGAAAAAAGAGGAATGGTGTAAGGATGACAAAGATGTTTATTTCATTTTCTATTTATTTATTTTTATATAAGGATTGGAGGGAATAATTTAATTGACGTTTGTGAAGGACGAAAAGGGATAAGACCATATGAATGATGCTATTAATGATAATGCTTATAATAACAGCAATAATGCTAATGATGACCATACTACTTCTAAAATGATAATAGAGTACAAATGTATAGGAAAAGAATGAATTTATAAAAAATATACTTTGCAGGAAACAACTTTGTAACTCAGTTATCATCCGATATAATAATCATTTAATGTTATGCAATGATCATCATCTAACAGTGTTATTTAATTTATCTATATATTTCTTTTCTCGGAGACTATTTTCTCGTTCAATATTATTTATTGAAGGAGTTTGCCACCCAGATGAAATAGTAACAAATACTACTAATCGAAATATGATATCAAGTGCACGTCTTCTATAATAATGATAATAAAGAACATTAATAAAGAAATTAATAATGATTTTGATAATATTAATGATAATAGTTATAGTGACAATAACGATAATAATAATGATTATAACAATAATACAAATAAAAACTAAAAACAAAATAATAATAATGATAATAATACCAATTATGATAATAACAAATATGAAAAAAATAACAACAGTAATACCAATAATAAAACAATGATAACAATACCAATAAACACAACAGAACCACACCCCTGCAATTCGCTCCTCACCTCTTGTTAATGAAGTTGATCGCATCCTGGTAGTTCTCATAGTTCAGGATAGGAAGGATAGGCCCGAAGACCTCGTCCTGCATCACCTTGCTGTCCTCCTTGACGTCCACCAGGATCGTTGGCTCGACCCACTTGGTCTTCTTGTCGTATTTGCCTCCGAGGACGACCTTCCCGCTGCTGAGGTACCCTGCCAGGCGGCTGTTGGGAAGGAGCTCTTGTAGGTTGTGATGATGGTGATGATAATGATTGTGATGATAATGATGGTGGTGATGATGATGTTGATGGTGATGATTGTAATGATGGTGATGATAATGATGATCTTTTACTCACTCTACTCATTCTCTTAGCTCTCTTACTCACTCCACTCATTCACCTCACTCCTTTACTCTCTCCACTCATTAACCTCACTCCTTTACTCACTCCATTCATTCACCTAACTCTCTTCCTTCCTCACTCTCTCGCTCCTTTCATTATCCTCACTCTCTCACTCACTCCTTTTATTCACCTCGCTCTTACTCACTCCACTCATTCACCTCGCTCCTTTACTCACTCCATTCATTCACCTCTCTCTCTTACTCACTCCACTTATTCTCCTCGCTCATTTACTCACTCCACTCATTCACCTCACTCTCTTACTCACTCCACTCATTCACCTCACTTACTCATTCCACTCATTCACCTCACTCTCCTACTCACTCCATTCATTCTCCTCGCTCTCTCACTCCTTCCATTATCCCCACTCTCTCACTCACTCCTTTTATTCACCTCACTCTTACTCACTCCACTCATTCACCTCGCTCCTTTACTCACTCCACTCATTCTTCTCACTCTCTTACTCACTCCACTCATTCACCTCACTTACTCATTCACCTCACTCTCTTACTCACTCCATTCATTCTCCTCGCTCTCTCACTCCTTTCATTATCCTCACTCTCTCACTCACTCCTTTTATTCTTCTCACTCCCTTACTCACTCCACTCATTCACCTCGCTCCTTTACTCACTCCACTCATTATCGTCGCTCCTTTACTCACTCGACGTGTCTCTCGGCCACGATTCGGCACAAGTCGGGGTTCTTCTCGAGGCTGTCTCCGTACCACTCCTTGAGGATCTGCTTGGCCTTGGCGACGATCTCCCCCTCGACGGCTTTGGGGCACATGATGTAGTCCGGGGCGATGCAGGTCTGGCCGAGGTTGAAGAGCTTGCCCCAAAGGATCCTCCGAGTGGCGATGTCGAGGTCCGCCGTTTGGTCCACGTAGCAGGGGCTTGGGGAGAAGCGGGGAGGAGGAGGAGGGTGAGAGAGGGGGGTAAGAGGGGATAGTGTGGGTTTGGGGTTTGGTGAGAGAAGGGGGGTGAGAGGGGGTGAGGGGGTGAGATTTGGGGGTTGGTAAGAGAGGGGGTGATGGGGTGAGAAGGGGTGAGATGTAGATTTGGGGGGTTGGTAAGAGAGGGTGTGAGGGGGGTGAGAAGTTGATTGGGGGTTGATGAGAGAGGGGGGGGAGATGTGGAATTGGGGGTTGATCAGGATGAGAGTCATGAATTTATAAGGGGTTTAAGGATGGTAAGGATGAGTGATAGATGTATGGTAAGCTATTGGAGGGTTATAAGGATAAGTGTAATAGATATATGAGAGGGGGGGGGGGGGGTGAGATGTGGCACTTGATAAGGATGAGAGTGATAGATGTATGGTAAGGGACTTGAGGTTGATAAGGATAAGTGTAATAGATAAATGATAAGGAAATAGAGGATAATATGGATGAGTATTATAAGGAATTGCAGGGTGATAAGAATAAGAAAAATAGATATATGGTAGGGTTAAGAGCACGAGATGTATGATAAGAAAAGATAATGATATAAGCTGAGGTAAGAGTAATAGATTTATGCTAAATATAAGAGTAATGAAATCATGCTGAGATAAAAAGATGATATATTGGATATGATATTTTTTGTTTTTTTTAAATGTGAAATAATTTTGGATTTCCTTTCATTGGAAATACAGCTTCTATATGTCTTATTGCCTTAAATTTTGTAGATCTTTCAAAAGTTTGTGATGCTAAATTCCACACAAATTCTTTAAACTTAATATACTCTGATATCTCAATCGAATCAAAACTGTTGCTTTAATATAATTCATCAACTGGTCCCACGAATTTTTTTTTTCGAGTGGCTTTCCTTCACTCGTCTAGCAACAAGAAACGAGACCTCTTTCTCCTCACTCTTTTTATCTCCTCATATCTCCTCACTCTCTAAATTCGCGCACGCCCCCCCCCCCATCCCCCACTCCCTTACCCGCCTCCACATCTTCCTTCCATCATACCAACATACCCTAACATACCCCATTACCGATGAACAAATCCAACAGACACCCTCTTCATGCCACCCACGCCCATCACCTACCACTTCCCGCCCAATTCCAGGGTTGTGGGCGTGAGGAACTTGTTGGCCGCATCCCTAACGATCTTGCCGACGCCCGTGGACCCGGTGTAGAAGATGTAGTCGAACCTCTGCTTCAGGAGCTCCGTGGTCTCTGCAACGCCGCCACACACGACGTGGAAACATTCCTGGGGGGAAAAAGGAAAAGTGAAAAGTGATGGAAAAAGGGTATAAAGAAACGTTTGATTAATAGGAGAGAAAATATGAATTAAGAGGAGTTATGGAAACAGAAAGAGAATTAGAATCGAAGAGGGGATGTGAGAAACGTTTGAGTACTAGGAAAGAGATTCAAATAAAGGAATATGAAAAAACTTTTTTCTTTTTACTAGAAAAGAAAATCAGAATCGAAGAAGATATAAATAAAAACTTTTCCCTAATAGAAAAGAGATTCAGAATAAAGGAAGGTATATAAGGAAACGTTTGAGTAATAGGAAAGAGATTCAGAATAAATTAAAGGGCATGTAAAAAAAAAAAACGTATATAAGGAAACGTTTGCTGAGAGGAAAGACAAAACAACAACAAGGGAAGTATTAACCGAAACGTTTAATTCTACCCACCTTATCCAGGTACTGAGGCACGAGCTTGGCGATGGCGGCGGCGGTGGCGGGGGCGACCTCGGAAGGCTTAATTACCACTGTGTTACCTGCAGCGATGGCACCTGAGACGGGGGGAAGAGGGGGTTAGGTAATTGATATAAATAGAAGATATGATTGGAAGATATGGAAGAGAGAGAGAGAAAGAACACGAGGAAGCAGAGGATGATGAAGTGATATGATTTGAAGATATGATTAATTGATATGAATATAAAATATGACTGATATGATTTGAAGATACTATTTAAGTGATATGATTAGAGGATATGATTAATTGATATGATTAGAAGATATGATGAAGTGTGGTGAGTAGAAGATCTGATTGGAAGATATGATGAGGTGATATGATTGGAAGATATGGAAGAGAGAGAGAGAAAGAACACGAGGAAGCAGAGGAAAAAGAACAAGAGCAAAACACGAAAAGATCAAAGGAGAAGTAGACAAAAATAAGAAGATGAATACTTAAAGAGCAAAAACAGCGAAACAGAAGCACAACAAGAAGAAAGAAAGAAAGAAAAAAAAAGCCAGAAATACAAAAATAGTAACAGAGCCAGGACGCCACGCCCACCTGCCGCAGGAATGAGACTGAGCTGCAGCGGGTAGTTCCACGCCCCCATGACGAGGACGACGCCATAAGGATCCTTGTAGATGAAGCACTTGTCCTGGGGCACGACCGGGGCGACCTCCTGGGGCTTCAGGCAGTCCTCCACGCGCGTCAGGAGGAAGTCGAGGTCCTTCTCAGCGAAGCCGGTTTCGAACAAGGTGGCTTCGAGCTTCGGCTGGGATTCGGACGAGTGGAGGAGGATTTATTTTTGTTTTGTTTTTGTTTTTGTTGAAACTTGAGTAGGTTATGAAGATGTTGTATTGTTTTTTATATCTGTTATTCGATTACTTATTGTTTTGGATTATTTTTATTACTATGAATATTATCAAAGTAGATTGCTAAGATTCGTTATCAACTTGAATTATTTTTGATTAGGTAATCGGTATAATTACTATAATTACTAAGACAATTCAACTTCTGATATCATAATCACCACAATCGCCCTCATTATAGAAATGCCTAATTAATCGCACCTTTCACCACCACACCTTCGCCTCGGAACCGCCCACTCACCACCACACCCTCGCCTAAGAACCGCCCACTCACCACCACACCCTCGCCTAAGAACCGCCCACTCACCTTCCTCAGATCGGAGTGAACGGCGTCGAGGAACGTCTGGCGGTTCTCCTCGTACATCTTCTTGAGTTGGAGCAGCTGCTGCTTGCGGAACTCTACGGACCGCGTGCGCCCCGTTTGGAAGGCGGCGCGTGCGCGGTCGACGGTCTGGAGATGCGGAAAAAAATGTTTAAGAAATATTCACACAAATGCACATACACACATACACACCATCCCACCCACACACGCACACATACCTACATACGCATGCACATACACACACACAAACACACACACACGCACACGTACACATACACACACACACATACACACACACACATATGTACACATACGCAAACACACATGTATGTATATATATATTCATTAATACACTTTAAAGAATAATCTATTTGTTCATATCTTTTGTCTTTTCTCGGAATTTTATCTGTTAATAATTCCAAGCCATACAAAGTAACAAGCATAGTAAAAGATTAAAAAAAATCCGCAAGATAAAAGACGTAGAGAGAGAAAGAAGGAATAATCAGAAATAGATAAAGATAGAGAAGGAGAGGAAAAGAGATCACACTTAAGAGGAGGATAAAAAAACGTGTATGTAAATGGTTGTTGTCACATTAGAGATAGATAGATATGATGATAGATAAGTTATTAATGAGAGTAAAAGGTGAACCCAAGAGATGACGAAGATCAAAAAAAAGAAAAAGAAATAAACAGGCGGATGTAGTCACATGTGAGATAGATAAGCAGACATAAAGACAAATAAATAGATAAACAGAAGGAGGGAGGGAGTGAGGGAGGAGAGAGAGAGAGAGAGAGAGAGAGAGAGAGAGAGAGAGAGAGAGAGAGAGAGAGAGAGAGAGAGAGAGAGAGAGAGAGAGAGAGAGAGAGAGAGAGAGAGAGAGAGAGAGAGAGAGAGAGAGAGAGAGAGAGAGAGAGAGAGAGAGAGAGAGAGAGAGAGAGAGAGAGAGAGAGAGAGAGAGAGAGAGAGAGAGAGAGAGAGAGAGAGAGAGAGAGAGAGTAAAAAGAGAGAGAGAGGGAGAGAGAGAGAGAGAGAAGAGAGACAGAGATGGAGACAAAAAAGAGACAGAGATGGAAACGAAAAGAGACAGAGAAAAAGAGAGAGACAGACAGACAGACAGAGAGAGAAGATGATGAGAGAGAGAAGATGATGATGATGATACTAAATAAAAAACGAAAGCAGCCGTCCTCAGTCACGTGCCACATCCATCACTCACGTAATCCCCGACTCTCTTCAGAAGGGTTAAAGCAGCAACAACAAAGAAAAGAAAGGAGAAAGAGAAGAAGAAGAAGAAGAAGAAGAAGAAGAGGAAGAACACACACACACACACGCAAAAAATAGCTTCGAAATCATGATCCAATTGAATACAAAAATAGAATACATACAATCGTCTTTTTTTATATCTAATGATCTCATTAAAAGAAAAAAGCTAAATGTAATTATACTAATTATACAAGAAAAAAGATAAGGGGGAGGGGTGGGGGGATGGGAGTGGGAGGGGGGAGGGGAGGTCAACAGACACGTGACCTGCATATCAAGAAGACAGTCTTAATCCATGTGTATGTTTATGTGTTGACGTCTGCGGTTTTGATATAAGCAACATGCTCCCTTATGACTAATTAAATACATTCCCAGACAATTTGATATCATGTAAAGGTCAAGGTCATGAAGTTGCTAGATTGCACTGACCTTGCATGACTTTTATTGTTGTTTTTGTCTTATCTTAATATTGTTTTGTTTATCTGTTGTTTTGTTTTTTAGTTTCTTTGAATTTTCTTGTTTTGTTGTTTCTATTTCTTAATTCCTATAGGTGGTTATTAGGTTTTCTATATTCCTGTTCTTCTTACTGTTATTGTACGTGTATTCTTTCTGTCTTTCTGGTTCTTAAACATTCATCTTTTCTACTTCCATTGTATTTTCTTCTATTCTTTTGCTTCATTATCATTATTATGATTATTATTTTACTTTTCTTTCTATTTCCTTATATTTCTGTTCCTATTTCCTGCACTCCCTTCGTCCTTCCTGCGCGAGCGAGCTTAGCAACAACAACCACCTCCTCCCTACGTAGCCTTCCCCCCCCCCTCTCCCCTCAAGTCGCAGCTTTATCCCCTCCCACCTCCTCTCCCTCCTTCTTGCATCCTCCCTTCCCCTTACGCTGTCTCCCTACTCCTCCCCCCCCCACGCAATCTCCTACTCCTCCCTCCCTTCTCCTCCTTACCCTGTTTATCCTTTCCTCCTCCTCCATTTCTCCTCCCTCCCTATGCACCCTCTCCCTCTTGTCCCTTCCCAATGCCCCATCTCCCCTTAGCCCCCAAACTTGTCCTTCCCAATCCCATCCCCTTAGCACCCTAACCTCTCCTCCACTTCCTCTTCCCCCCCGCCCCTAAACCCTCCCTAACCCCGCCCCCTAAACCCTCCCTAGCCCCGCCCATCTCCACCCAACAACAGCTGAATCACACGCGCATCCTGATCGTAATCTGTTAACAGCTCTCTTAGTAACGTCCTCAAAGTTTGTTTTTCCCGCCCGTCGATATCATTATGGCCGTATCATCTTAATCAGATAAAGAGGAGGAAAAAGACTCTGGATCTAAGCGCAGATAGAGAGGAAGACGAGGGATCAGACTCTTAGCGAGAGAGAAACTCCTAGAAGCGAGTCGCTGTGACGAAGAATAAACGGTTTTTGTTTATCTTCCCAGCCGGCGTTCGCGTCTGCCGTGCGCAAGGCGATGCGCTGTTGTTTCGTGGTGCAAACTGCGCTTGTTGTCATGACATCGTGAATAATTTTCATGTCTTTTTTTTTTTGCATATCATGACCTAAGTTTGCATAAGTCTAAGAATGAGTATATAGTTATATAAAAAGCATCAAATTTAGGATTGATATAGAAAAACGAGAAGTTATGCAGTATATAAATATACGAAAACCGAAAGAGGAACTATGTACAAGTATGAATGCATGCATGCATTCATGTTTGTATAGATGTATGTACGTATATATGTATATATGTATGTTTGTAAGTACAGTATGTATATATATATACACTATATATATGTATGTACAGTGTGTATATGTATGTACAGTATGTATATGTATATACAGCATGTATATGTATATGTATGTACAATATGCATATGTATCTACAGTATGTATATGCATGTATGTATGTCCAGTATGGTTATGTTTGTATGCATGTAAATGGGTATGTATGTATGCATCTATGTATGGATATGTATGTAAGCTTGCATATGTATGTGTGCATGCTGTAACAAAAGGTCTAAGTCTTGGACAAACTATAAAACATCTAAGACGCCTATTCATTAGAAGTAAATCATCCATACCTCCTTGAAAGATGCCATGGCTGCCTGGAACGACTTGGTCAAGGGAGAGCTCTGCAACACTATCACAACTACCCTGCAACTGAGGTTTCATCTGCGAGACCCAAGCCTTTATACCCAGCTCCATCTCGGATGCCAGATAACCTTAAAGCTATGGCGAAAAGGTAGCACAAAAAAGTCCCTTATCATGATGACTCGAGACTCTGCAGCTTTTCCCGCGGAGTCACCGAGCTCTGGTGTGAGTTGAGGAGCCTGCTTGGTCTCCTAAGACTCGCTGCCTGCCTGAGTCTCCTTCTCTTGCATTGCAATATGTGCATCTAAATCTCTGGGATCGGTGGCCCAGCTCGACGAAAGCCCCAGGTAAGATAAACAGCAATATATCATCCCGTTTTCACGTGTACGACATATTCCAGAAAGGTCTGAAGCCTTCTTGTTATATAACATATCTGTATTTCCTTGTTATTCCTCCTTTATAAAAAATTCCAACGAAGAACTAAAAGGAAAAAATCTATATCTCTGCATTTCCTTGTTATTCCTCCTTTATATTTTCCAACGAAGAACTAAAAGGAAAACAAATCAAAACTTAGAAGTGCTTAGACTTAGGACATTGACTTCATATCAGTCATACTGTGTCATTATGAGTTTAGATATTTCATTCCCCAAGTATTTTCATGACGCATACAGCACATCTAATGACCGCTCTATCAGCAGCTTGTCAACCATTGTCTCTAAAAGCCATGTATGGGGCAGTGCAGATAAAGATAGTGTCAGGGAAAGATAAAATGCGTAGTTGTTTTTCATCACATATCTTTATATAAGCCGCCTAAAGTGATGACGACGTCCCTACTCTACATTCGATACTGACATCTGTATGTCGGATAATGACATCTGACAAGTGGCATCTGAAACTGAGTCACCCGTTTTGGCCTAATAATAGTTTGTACTTATGGTTACATTGCCTGCGAGTGTGGCGTTGGGTGTATTAATGTACATGAATAGCTGTAGTTGAAGTGACTATTGTTCCGAGGAAGACAAAGGGGTTTGGCGAGATGCAGAGAGCGTCAGGAGGAGCTCGATAAGATAAGATGAGGATAAATCATTCGAAAAAAAAGTTACCGCTTTCTTTGAGGATAGGTTATAACCGATTGTATGCTATTCCCGTAAAACGAATTCATTATTGCACTCAAAAGAACATTCGGGAACTATCAATGCTATATATCTACTCGCATTTTATTTTGTATGTCTATCCAACAGGCAGCAGTTTTTATGAGAGTAGTTACTGATTTTACATGCATATGTATGTATATCTGTCCGTTTATGTTTGTATATGTTTTTATTATTAGCATATTGTCAAATCATGTGTTCATTGCAGTGTTAGCTAATATGTACTAGATATTTAATGTTAGTTATTCAGAATAAAAAGTATTGCAGAGACCAAGGTACGTTTATTTAATATTACAACCCCTTCATTTAAATTTTGTAATTTGCTGTACTTATGTGAATGATCCCATAGTGAATAATTCATTTAATCATATGTTTATTCAGTGAACCATCATATATCTCCTTCAACTGTCATAAAAATGTATTTGTGAAAAAAAAAAAGTTATAGAAATATTCTTATCATTACAGGACTCCCGTAAAGTCGTTGTGAAAATCTAAGGGGATTGCACATTCGATTTCATGTTCTGAACTGAACAACAACATGAATTCAGCAGGAATTCCATTTAACTCTCCAGGATACAGCTCAAAGATCATGACTTACGTAAGAGATATCATTTTATAAAAATAACTTTCGTGTATAATTTATGCATGATATTCCGCTGTTTCATGCAGTGCTAAATGGGGCTTTCATGGCACTTTCATAGAGAAAGAGAAAGAGAGAAGAGGAGAGAGAGAGAGAGAGAGAGAGAGGAGAGAGAGAGAGAGAGAGAGAGAGAGAGAGAGAGAGAGAGAGAGAGAGAGAGAGAGAGAGAGAGAGAGAGAGAGAGAGAGAGAGAAGAGAGGAGAATAAAGAGAGATAGATAGAGATAAGAGATTAGAGAGATAGATAGAGAGAGAGAGGAGAGGAGAGAGAGAGAGAGAGAGAGAGAGAGAGAGAGAGAGAGAGAGAGAGAGAGAGAGAGAGAGAGAGAAGAGAGAGAGAGAGAGAGAGAGAGAGATAGAAGAGAGAGAGAGACGAGAGAGAGAGAGAGAGAGAGAGAGAGAGAGAGAGAGAGAGAGAGAGAGAGAGAGAGAGAGAGAGAGAGAGAGAGAGAGAGAGAGAGAGAGAGAGAGAGAGAGAGAGAGAGAGAGAGAGAGAGAGAGAGAGGAGAGAGAGAGAGAGAGAGGAAGAGAGGAGCAGAGAGAGAGAGAGAGAGAGAGAGAGAGAGAGAGAGTCAAATAGCAACGGCCAGCTTCAGCTCAGTATCCAGTATCCAGCTGAGAGACTCCCCAGCCATATCAGGTCGCCAAATGGGGTAGACAAGCACAGATAACCGAACTCAAGAAGAAAAACAGCACCCACATCCACATGCAGTAAAAAAAAAAAAAACTAATAACGGAACCACAAGGAATCCTTCTTACCTTTATAAAACGAATGGTATTATATTCAATTTTGGCTCTTTTGAGTCATGGAAGGACACAAAATGCTTAATTTTACTCTTATTTTCTAAAGATTGTGAAGAAAGGAAAAAAACTGAACGGGAAATGAATTTTTTTTCCCACATGAAGTGTATCCTACTTAAGAGCGCATATGGGACCTGAATTCTCAAAATTAGGAGAAATGTTGAAAAAAATGAAATGCAAATGAATATTTCGTGACAATATGAAGCGATGCTAAGGTGCTATTTTTTAAGATATTAAAAAAAAGAAAATTAACCTTTCCAAGAACCTGATTTGTAATTGACATTTCTATAATACTGTAACACACATAGAATAGATCTGGTAATGATTTAATAACTTTCATTGTAGAACTAAATATTTTCACTATTACCTCGTCTACTGTGATATTAATTATACGGAACATCCTTCTCAAATTTACGTAGACCTGATAAAGTGTTTAATAACTTTCATTAATAACTTGTCTCTCTCGTCTCTCTTTCTCTCCTCTCTCGTCTTTCTCTTCTCTCTCTCTCTCTCCTCTTCTCTCTCTTTCTCGTGCTCTCTCTCTCTCTCTCCTCTTCCCTCTCTCGTCTCTCTCTCTTCTCCTCTCTTCGTCCGTCTTCGTCTCTCTCTCTCTCTTGAATCTCTGTCTCTCTCTCTCCGTCTCTCTCTCTCTCTCTCTCTCCATCTCTCTCCTCTCTCTCGTCACTTACACTATAAATAGTTTTAACCTATACCTGTTCACCTGCAAATATCAATTTCATCTGAACAGAATCTTTTCTCCGGGTATATTTTCTAACGGATATAAAATGCGACTAAAAAGTAAACAAAAAAGTAAAAAGTAAACAAAAATATGAAAATAATCTTGGAAACAGATGGATACACAAAAGCAAGGACGTGTTTGATAAAGTTAAATGACGGGAGCTTTAGAGAGAGAGAGAGAGAGTGAAGAGAGAGAGAGAGAGAGAGAGAGAGAGAGAGAGAGAGAGAGAGAGAGAGAGAGAGAGAGAGAGAGAGAGAGAGAGAGAGAGAGAGAGAGAGAGAGAGAGAGAGGAGAGAGAGAGAGGGAAAGAAAGAGAGAGAAAAAAAAGAAGACAGATAGAGAGCGAGACCGAGAGAAAGAGAGAAGCGAGAGAAAGAAACCGAAAGAGAAAGAGAGAGACAGACAAATAAATAAAGAAAGAGACAGCATGCCAAAAAAGAAATAACGCGTTCATTTCTCAGCTCAGGAGAGACACGCAAACAGCTGATGAATGCCAGGCAGGTGTCCCATAAAGTGACTTACATCCAGAAAACAAAAACAAAAAACAAAAACGCATCGCTCGAACTGGATCCTCTTTAATCGAACGGTTTTAGAATCCGATTAAAGGAATCTGATCCAGTGTGCCTTAGAGAAAACACTCGCAGGTTAGTAGAATGTTTGTAAGTGTTTGCGGAATTAAGTATGAAAACAGTGATGATGAGATGGAGGACTGCGTGACGCACAAGCAGATACACTCTCGAATTCCTGGCGTTGCTCGGAATTAGAGAGAGAGAGAGAGAGAGAGAGAGAGAGAGAGAGAGAGAGAGAGAGAGAGAGAGAGAGAGAGAGAGAGAGAGAGAGAGAGAGAGAGAGAGAGAGAGAGAGAGAGGAGGTAGAGAGAGAGACCAAATATAAATATATTAGATCCCAAATATATATATAGCAGACCCAAAATATAAGGCACTGCGAACATGTACATTAGATGAAAATACCGTCATCAAAATAATGCAAAAAAGCAATAGAATTCCAGATGACATTAGTAATTAGCTGATATTTAACAAGTGCCATTCTCTTCCACAAACAAAAATTACAATTAATCCGGTATTTCTTCGACATGACACTGCTCTTAGCGAGCTTGCGAACTAAAATCAAATCTTTTGGAAACCGACAAATGCAAAGAAACCTCAAAATATATTAGTACTGCTAAAAAACAAATGATAGACTCCAAAAAGTACCAAAGAAAAAGTTGGTGTTGGAAGGAATTTTAAGTTCCCTCTTAACACCCAAATTTACAAACAAACACAAACAAACAAACAAGAGAAGGATTTTGGTTAGCGTCATCGAGGAAGTGGTTTAGAGAAATATTTCCTCTTAAAGATGCTGCGGAAATAGACCAGCTGCAGAGGCTCCGTAACAAAAAACGCGTGACTCATACCTTTTATCAGACGCACGAAAATGAAATCAATACTTCTACAGGATTCTAAAGGGTGAATACAGTAACTTGTTACCTATGACGATATTAAACTTCAAAGACGTTTTTACAAAGAGGTTTAATTTTTGTTATTTTTCCTCAGACATTTTCTATTGTCTGAGGAATGAAATACTCGTTGTTCACCAGGTAACTATTTAACGCGTGTGGAACGAGCAGAGGACCAGAATGCAGGAGCTTTTAAACGGAATCGAATTCGAGACAGATATCGTGGTTAGTCACAACATGATGGTTGTATCTGCAACCCAAACATTACATTCCGCTACAACATGACAGTTTTCTTTGTATTACGACATTACATATCATCACAATTTGAAGATACCA